GAAGATGTCTTTCGAACAGTGACGAATTTTGTCTGCCAAAAGCAGCTGCAGTGATCGAAGTTAGCGGATATCTGTACAAACGGAGCACCATCCATATTGCACCTTCGTTACGGGTTCCAAACATTAGTGAAACATGTTGTTTCGCATGACACCTTTAGTCACTGCATTACAAATCGTTATGCTCAAGTGGTGAAGACGCCCAACTCCTTTGCTGGACGCATTTATCCAGATAGTGAAAATTGTATATCTCATCCGCGGTAGTGCGACGAATACAAGAGTTTTCAAAGAGTTGTGCAATTAATTTGTAGGCCAATTCGACATGCTGTTATTCCGCACAGAAGCGCGTTGATTATCACGGGGCCCAGAGTGTACACACACTCACACACTCGCACAGAATGCTCGAGTTTCGAGAAGCAATTGCTGTGTTTTTGGAGCGGAATGAATTGCATAAGAATAAGGAAATCGCGTTACACACCATAATAACAGACAACGTATTATTTCTAAAATGGCATGTCTTGCGAATTTCTTTGGGAAATAAGTACGCTCAACTTCAACTTGCAAGAAAATCTGACAAATATTTTAACGGCTCTGGATAGGGTTGTCATTTTTCTTCGCAAATTGCAACTTTACCAACGCAGAACAAGTGTTAACGACGTTTCCATAATTCCAAAATCAGCAATGGTTGTCGTTGGAAAAGATGAAAAATACACATTCACAGATCAAACAACTCTCCACTTGTCATCAGTGGTACATTCTGCCAGCAAATATTTTCTTGATTTGGAAATTCACCAAGTGTGTGCTTGGGTATTAACACCCTTCAGTAAATGCAGGAATATTTCCAGATGCTAAAATTAAAACCAAAGCACAATTCCTCGTACTTCGCGAAGACAATACACTGGAAATTTCTTTACAAAACACACTACCAGCAACATTTGGCCATGATTGGTAGTGAGTATTCATTGTTATCGAAAGGTTTAAGAATGCTGATCCCATTCGCCACAACTTATAGGCGTGAAGGTAGAATTTTGACAGTAGTGACAATGAGAACAAAAACAAGGACTCGAATGAACTTGGAGCCCGAATTTCTATCTGCATTAGCCTACTGCACCAAATATACCAGAAATTGTTAGAAGTGAGCAATATCAACCGTCTCATTAATCTACATTACCACTTGGTGCAATAGAAATTTGCCCAAAAATGGGTGTTTCCTTTGCTTTTATGATCGAAAGCGATTACAAATAGTATTTGTTCTCCGTAATTTTAGACGAAAATATGAGCTGAACTATTTTTGGGGGTAATCGTTCATAATCGCTCCCACTTATGGGGCCGTGTATGTAACCTACTTTGTGGGCAACAACATCAAACAGATTGTGAACCACTGGTCTAAACAATTGCCGCCTAACTCACTGTACGGCTCATTTTCAGAAGCAGTGTAAAAATTCGTAACTCCGCTTGGAAGCTTCTTCTGCTTGGGATTCAGAACTATATTTCAGATAGTAATTTTTTCACACCACTGGTCCGTACTCTCGTGCTCTTGCTATTTAAACACATTGACCGGTTGGCATAAGGCGTCTGCCGTGTAATCCAGAAGTCACAAGTTCGAGTCAGCGTGGGGGCAGGCTACCTCGCTGTAAACTCAGTCCACGCGCCACTGTTGCTGGTTGCCTGTCAGCGAAGTGTCGGCACAGTGTGTCGGTGTATTGTCGAGACTTTTCTTTTTAAACGTGGTGGCAAGTGAACTTATTCTTCTAATGCAATTGAATTAAAGATGCCTAGCTAACTTGGATGAGTCGGTCATAGCAGCGATATTCAAAAAGTGCAGCCACTGTTAGGGCAATTCCAAACCGAAGTAAATTCACTGGCTCCACTGAATCGGGTTGAATTCTGTAACTTTCGCGGACAAAACGGAATCCCACAGTTCAAATCAAGCGCGGTCAGAAACAAAACCAGTTGACTTGTTCGGGGACGTGGTCGCGCAATTTGCCACAATTAACTGTGTGATTTGCATCAAAACCATCCCTTCCTACGATCAGACAAGGGTTTTCGTGTTGCAGAAACACTTGTTCCTATCGCTTGTTTCACACTCTACACCCCTTGACTTTTAGACTTATAAAATCAAACGCGCATGTAACTTTAGTTTGTACGGTATTAGTCCGTTTTCATAGTCTGCCCGTTTTTGGTTCGGTACACCGATACACTCCTCTCTAGTGGTTTGAATTCTGCAACTCAATGCGCAACCCTAGGAAGCCGTTCGGTCATACCCCCTGAGAACATAAAAGCCACCACGGTTGTGTTACCGACAAGATATCGGATTGACACCGGTAGTTGCTGTCCTTCATACTCTTTCATCACCTAGTCGTGGGACGTGAATCTCAAATGAATTGATAACGCATGGATTTTTGACCGTTTAAGGTTGCACAACACTTTTGCTACACGCCAATTGCTGTGGCAGCGTCGCAGATGTGACAGATCACAAAAGCTGTTTTCTTCTATTTCAAGAGCTCACTCGCTAGTTCATTTCCCTGAAGTACGTAAGCATTCGGAAAGTTGTGTACTCGAGCACCTTGGATCGCGTAGGGCACCACAGTGGATTTTTATCGGTTTTCTGGTTTCACCTAATTTTCACTATGTATCCGGGTAACTCATCACTTTAGTGAGCAAACGAATCGAACCTGTGATGTCCATTGGTGGTACTTTTCCAAAAAAATATGCTCTGTATACACAAGGGAATCGAGCGCATAAGCACTTCACGCGGATCACCCACAATCTAATGGACAGGCCTAACGATTCGTCAATTCCATGAAATAAACACTGCTGCAATCCAAAGGAGATGGTGCGCCGGGAAACCACCAGCTGAAATTTTAACGCGTTAAAGACGGAACAACTGACTGATCCGTTAACGCTCCTTGATTCAGCCTATTGAGTCCGTCTTGCAAAACCAATACAAGTCGCGATATAAGTCAGTCTAAACATTTTGCAATTAGTAATCGCGTATTTTTATCACCTTACCTCAAATCCATGGGGTCAAGTGGATGCGCGGAATCCTCGTGTGGTACCAT